TTGGACAAATAGTGGGTTTGTGGGACGGGGGCGTGTCCGGGGACTCGTCCGATGCACACTGGAAATGACTCTAACACGAATGCGTTGATTATTCATAACAAAACAAACCTAGGAATCAAACAAATGTGCAATATATAAAGGAAAAACCTCACGATTAAAGTTGTAATGTTATAATGTTCAAGTTTTTGTTCTAAAAAAAGAAAGATGCACACAGACTCTTATATGACCAGATTGATTGATTGGAAGATATTTAGTTTGTTACAAACAATGTGCAATCTGTAAAACAAAACCCTCAAAATTATAGTTGAAATGGTATACTGCTGGAATTTTTTTGACCTTGAGAAAAAGCTTAAAGTATAGACCAACAAATTTTATGTTTATTAATTTATTTCATGTTGTTACATTTTTGGGAAGTACACCTGTTTTGACCTTATGTCCATTGGAATGGACAAAAAAAAATCACAATGAAAGCAATTATATAACTTTTTTTTTTTTTCATTTATAGAAGCCTCATGAGCTGGGAAAATGTACTTTTATATTTTTCAGAAACTTGAAACATAAGTCAGGTCTGAGGGGGTTAATGGATCATTCTTCTCCTCTGATCTTTTTTTTCTTTATTCCGCACATTCAAATCTTGAATGTAAAAGTGATTTGCATATCTTAACCTAATCAGGCTGTTCATTTATTTGCCTTGAAGTGGGTTTTATTATCTCTCTTCTTGAAAATGGAACTGCAGTGAAACACAACAATAAAAGCATGTTTAGTTTCTTTAGTGGGCCACTTGGTTATGTAGACTTGGCTACTATTGTTTGCACAATTTCAACTGGTTCACCCAAAAATAAAAAATTCTGTCATCATTTACCCTCTCAAGTTGATCCAAGTATGAATTTTTTTCTTATGCTGAACACAAATTCAAAATAGCTTCGTCTGTGTTCAGCAGAAGAAAGAAGTTCATGTTTGAAACACCATGAGAGTGAGTAAATTGACATAGGCCTAATTTAAATTTTTCGGTGAACTATCCCTAGGTATGCAAGCATATTGCCATCTAGTGGACAAAGGTGAGTCCATTGCATCTGTTTACATAATCATGGTGTTGCCATTTTGATACAAAAGCTGTTGTGTAGAACTTTAAAAATAGGCTAATCATTCATAAGCATATGATTAAGAGACCAGTTTATGTACTTCACTATTAAGTACAGAAATACATATGTTTCTTCTGACTATTTCAGTTAATCTACATTAAATGTGTGCATTTTTTCTACTTTTTAAACCAAAAGAAATAGCACAAAACCCTTCTGAAATAAAAGGTGTCTTGTTGTTTAAAAAACATGAATGAAAACGAATAATAATAAATATTGAAACAACACTGACCTTTTAAATCGGCTTTATTTTAACTATTAATGTTTAATTTTTAGTGCTTCAGCTTAATCTCATTTCAATGTGTTTCATCTTTTTATATTTCATTTCAACTTTATTTTGATTAACACAAATTTGTTAATAGTTTTATTTAACAATAACAACCCTGAATAGAATAATGCTAAGGGAAACCTTTATGTAGGCTAAGTATAATGGGAATAATAATAATTATTAATCATGCAATATGTCATTATATCTTTTTCAAAATCTATTTAGTATGAAATAATGGTATAACAATGTTCTAAAGTGATTAAAAGATGTTGAGAAACACAGGAGAAGGAACTTAGGAAAAGGACGAAAAAATAAACGAAAACCCACGCAATCAGTTTTGTCCCTCTACGGACACTGTTGCTTGCGGTACGTAGAGTTTGACGTCAACCAAACCGGTGAATTTTGAATTACGGGCGCGTTTTTCAGCATCTCTATTGTAATTAAAAATAAATGTTTCACATTATCTATATATGTTATATTACGAATTGTGGTTTATTTTTTTGTGTTTAATTGGTTGTGTAACGTATAGCGTGACTAAACTTTTGTCTAACGTCTGTCGTACGAATTGTGCTGTTGCTAACAAAAATATAATCATTTATTCTTTCATTTAGACAATGGAGGCCAACAAAGAATCACCTGGTGCCTTTAAAACGCCTTGCAAGCCTGCAAAAGTGAAAAGTCCAGGTAGAGTGCCGGTATTTAAACGTTTGATACTATAAGTTATTATTTACAAGTTATATTTTCTTTCTCATCATCGAGATGGTTTTGATCCAAATGTGGTCGTTGGTTAAAGTAAGTTAACTTTAGTTAAAACTATCTTCAATGTGTTGTTTGTTATCAGTCGGTGCATGTGGAACCCCGGTCACCATTCCTGCCTCTCCCTTCATGAAGAAGCTCGGCTGCGGGACTGGAGTCAATGTCTATCTCATGAACAGGTTCATGTATAATATTTGATGTATATTTGTACTACCTAACGTTACTCCATGTGAATGTAATGGTTAATGTACAATTTGAAACATCTATGATAATGTTATCATCAGGATGGGCAAGCAAAATCATTCACCATGGGCCATTAAGAAGATCAACAGCAAGTGTGAAAAAAGTCAAATGAATGTTTATCAGAAGCGTCTGAGCGAGGAGGCAAAGGTCTTAAAAGACCTGCACCACCCCAATATTGTTGGCAAGTATTTCTTTAAAATATTACAGGTAAAGTTAAATATAAGGATTATAAGTCAAATGTCTTTTTTGTAATTATTTTTTTAAGGCTTCAGAGCTTTTACCACAGCAAAGGACGGCTCCAAGTGTCTAGCGATGGAGTACGGTGGAGAGCAGTCTCTGAATGACCTCATTGAGAAAAGAAATGAAGAGGGTCTTCAGGCATTTCCAGTGGCCACTATTGAAAAAGTTGCTCTTCACGTCGCACGTGGTTTACAGGTGTGGTTGTGGGTCATTTGTAAATGTACTTTTAAGGCCTGTTCACACCCAGTACAATAACTAAACTAAGGCTGTTGATGTTTTTAAGGCCTTGTTGCACCAAGGACAATTACTATATAACAAAGATATAGTTTTAAAAGTCGTTCTAAGTGTAAAACAATAGCAGAGCCCACACCATAACAATAATGATAACTGCACAGAGGAACGATATTGTTGGAATCATTTTCACAACGATATTTTCCAGCTGGTGAGTATGGAAACTTTATTCCACCATGGAATAAAAAATACCAATGCTAATTGTGACTTTTTTCCCCCATCAGAATTATGAGGTATAAACTCACAATTGCGAGTTACAAAGTCAGAAGAACTGCGAGATATAAACTTGAAATTCTGAAAAAATAGTCGCAATTGTGAGGGAAAAGAGTCAGAATTGCTAGTTATAAAGTCCAGTTTTAAGAAGTTAACAAATATCACAATTCTGATATTTTCCTGCAATAATTCAGACTTTTTCTCAGAATTGCGAGATGTAAAGTCACAATTACCTTTTATTTTTTATTCAGTGGCAGAATCAAGCATCTATATAATTCATTTGGATTTTAGAGCCAGATGATATAACTGCAGCACATACTTATAAATACACAACGATATTGGGTGTAGGTGTAGACACTAATATTGTTAACGTTATAATTATCATCCTTGTGTGAACAGGACTTTACATAATAATTACATTTGATTTTGGAAAAAGTTGTAATCTACAACTGTTTTAGTGTTGTCATTCTTCAGTATCTGCATAATGAGAAAAGGCTTTTGCATGGAGACATGAAGTCATGCAATGTTGTCATCAAGGGCGACTTTGAAAGCATCAAAATCTGCGATGTTGGTGTGTCACTGCCACTGGATGAAAACATGCAGGGTATGAAAAGATTTAACATGATTAATTTACCTCCTTTTTTTAAGATCCACTATATTAAATTATAATTTCAAACCTATCTTTCCTCAGTGAGCGATCCAAAGGCCCATTACATCGGAACGGAGCCGTGGAAACCTAAGGAAGCCTTGGAGGATGGGATTATAACAGACAAAGCTGATATCTTTGCATATGGACTCACGCTGTGGGAGATGATGACACTTTCTGTTCCTCACCTGGAGTTGCTGGACACTGAGAGTGGTGATGATGGTAAAGTTACTGTAATCAAATCCATGTGATGTTTTATAATATCCTATAGCGAGTAGATTTAACACTTTTTCAAATCATCTATTCTGTCTTTTTCTTAGATGACTCCTTCGATGAGGATGGTTTTGATGAAGATGCGTATTATGAGAGGCTGGGAACTCGACCGGCTTTGGACGCAGCTACTCTTGGAGGGTCTTACCAGAAGATGGTGGAGCTCTTCTGTCTCTGTACTGAGGAAGACCCTCATAAAAGACCCTCTGCAGCTCACATCGTTCAGGTGCTGGAATTAAACAACCAGCTTTGTGACAAAAACAATGTCATTGTAATTGATTAAATTCACTAATCCATTCCCATCAATGTAAAATATATTGGTATGTTTACAGGTTGGGTCTGTTTTCTGCTCTGCTTTTGTGTCTATAATTTTACTTTGTGAACTGTTTCTTTGTCACATTGTAAATATTTTTCTGTTGAGGATTTTGTCATGTTAAATATGTTCATATGTACTCTATTGACGTTCAGGCATTTCCTAGATACTGTAGTTATAGTGCAATTTGAATTAAAGTGTCTATTTGAACTATGGTCTGTCTATAAAATCAGCACACCTGACTCATTGCTTGATGAGAATATAAGTTCTTACTGACACGCTTATTTTTTGGGGTTCAACTTAGAAATTAAGAAACCCTGGTTTAAGAGGTGGTTCAGGGGGTTAGTACCTTGCAATTACTTATGGAACAGAACTAATAAAAAGTTTTTGATTTAAGATTTTTTATTATTCAAGTTTGAAACCTATGCTCAATTTAAAGCATTTAGCTAATTCTTGTTGAATGCATACAAGTTCGTATGGGCAGACAAATTGGGGAAAAAAAAACTATTAGAAATATATTTTAAAATGTCATTGCACCACAAAACTATATAAAGTGAAAACTTAGTGATCAGTCACCTAAGCTGTATAACTCAACTTGATTCATAATTACAAGACAAAATACATGAACAAGACCATTTATTTTAAAAAAATATGTACAAAGAGAGTAGCAGTTCAACCGAACGTTTTTGCTCATTTTACAACCAACTTTAAGGAATTATGACAGCCTAATTTTCCAAACAGGAATCTTTAGAACCTGATAGCTTACAATAATCAGCCAGTATTTGTGCTGAAGTAAAACATGCCTTAAATATGAATTTGTGAACTCGGCATTAAAGGCAAAACATCAATCTCTAAAACACAGTAAAATGAGATGCTCATCATATTAGGCTGAACTTCACTTGAACGTATAACTTTTTTTTTTTTTAATCTATTAAAAACTCTGTAAAAACTTACAAACGCATTAACAAATGCAGTCAAACTAAAACCAAGTGTAGTTGTTTTTCCTTTAACAGTTTAACTGATGAAGTTGTACACCAAAAATGTTGGTGTCTGGCAGTATTTTGTAGCAAACAGCTTCCCCTCTGGTGTTGGGTCAGAAAAAGGCAATTTCTTCTTTGGTCAGATGGCTCCCGTACATGAAAGAATTCCTGATTTGGTAAGAAACAATAGTTTTATATACCTAAAGTAATGTATGCTAACTCCCACTATAAGACCTTTCATCTTATTAATGCACTGAAAATGTTTGGTACCTGACAGTGTCCATAAGGCGAGTGGCGATGCCCTTCCTCCTCATCAGACTGAAGACCCAGATGCGACTGACGCCACAGAGGGCCTTTTCCGGCACGGTAGAGCAGCACCAAGCTCTGTGGCGCTCCATGAAATCCTCCTTGTTCATGTCTTTGGGTTTCTCTGGCTGCTCCAGCACACGAAAGGCCTGGAAAACATTGGTTCAGTAATATCAGTTTTACTTTAGTTCATCACTGCCATTCTGAGGTAAAGTCTTCAGGTAGACCAAGACTCACCTGTCTAATACTCTCAGCCACCAGACATCCCACAACCATTCTGTCACTGTTAATGAACAGGTAGGTTTTAGCCGAGCTCGGGCTACTCAGTGTGATCTGCTGAAAGCCCAACTCACTGTCCGCGATCCGTCTCACGTCCTCTGCCTGGAACAAAGCAGTAAAAGTTAGAAAATATTGATTTAGCTTGGCAGAAGAAGTGTTTAAGCTCTAACCAACTACCAGCATACCTTTTTTGTGGCATACTTTGGATCCTCAGGAAGAACAAGAATAATCTTTCCATCCCAGAACTCTGCCACAACCCTCTCCTTTTTCCAACCCTAAAACATACAAATTCATGTGACATTGCAACATTTTTGTAGCAGAATCGGTAAACTGTAGGGCTGGGTATTGACACAAATTTCACAATTCGATTTCGATTCACAAGCTTGCAATTCGATTCGATTTCGATTCAATATTGATTATTTTAGATATCAGTTACAATAAATGGCAAATTTTCTCAAGGAAATCAAATCTCTTAACTAATGCTGTAAACTGTGGGAGTCTAGTTGTACCCTATAGGCTTCATTAGCCTAATATGAAAGTAATAATGAACTGTTTTGTAGCTATACAAACGCTTAAATTACACTTTTATTTATTTTTATAATAGGAAGATTGTATGAGATATAAACATTTAAATGGTGGCTGTCATAAAAACTTCAATATTGAAGAACATTAAGATTATAATGCATATGTAATATGGTGTATATATTTTGCAAAATGCTCCTCTCTAGAGTTATTTTTTGAATTTCTAAAGAAAATGGACGTGATTTGAAAATTGAGACTGTTTCATATCAATAGTAACAAAGGACAAAGATTATTGCGATTTTTTGGATGCGCGCAGCCGCGAGACAATGTTTCCATTCATTCAAATGAAACAGGATGACTAATCAATTCTTGAGATTTAAGAATCGATATTGGTTCGTAAAAATGAGAATCGATTAATATCGAGAAATCGATATTTATTACCCAGCCCTAGTAAACTGCATTGATGACGACATCATGACGGCTCACCACAAACTTAATGGTGTCCAAGAAGCGCTGATGGAACTGCGTGTGCTGGAAGTTGTCCTCGGGACTATCTGTGCTGTACAGCATCCCACAGGACCCGCATGAAGTAGCGCCAAACTGCTTTTGACCAGCATCCTAAAGAGCAGACACATTAACCATTAACAAGAGGTGAAGAACCACACATTTATTTCCATTTAACAACTGCACCTTCTACTCACAATGATGAGCTGGTTATCCGTTTGCTTCTTCATCTCTCTTCTCAAAGCACTCCTCTCTTTGGCCTTGAAAGCAGGAGTGCCAGTCAGAGCAGGAGTGCTGGTGTTCAGTGGTGGTGACAAAATCCCTTTTTTCTGAGATCTAAGACCAAGAAAGAACAACTAATAAGGTTCAAGTTTATTGCCTTTACATGGTCATGACATTAAAGGAGAACTCTGTTGCAAAATGAACCTTTGGTCTAAATTACACATCGGTACCTAGTCGATCGGTACCTAGTTTAACTATGAAAAAGAATATAACAAAGCAAAATCAAGGTAATTAGTTATTATATCACACTAGTTTTATAGAGCTATACATTTGATTGTTTACAATATTTTGCCACAACTGCATTAGGGGAAATATTAGTATATGATGGACTTACCTTTTAGTGCCAAAGATGGGATATACAGTAGACTCTTCTAAACAGAGAGTAATAATAATAAATCATCTTTTAAAAAATATCAGATTTTATTGACCGTTTTCATACACACACACATATATGTGATGTATATGTAAACAGTCAATAATATATAGATTTATACACACACACACACACATATATATATATATATATATATAGAAAGATCATTTGTAGATTAATAGTATGTAGTTAATTTACCTTAATTTATACGATTATCAAAAAAAATATTAGTTAGGCTATTTAATATTAAATTATTTTCTAATTAGAAACTAGTAGGCAGAGAGATAGATAGATAGACAGATAGATAGATAGATAGATAGATAGATAGATAGATAGATAGATAGATAGATAGATAGATAGATAGATAGATAGATAGGAGGATTTTAAGTTACCATCATCATCATGAGAGCTGTTGTGTTCTGATGGAATGTCGCTCACATCAAACACTGAATCAGTTTTAGAGGGCGAATCCTGAAAAACATTTTCATTTTGAGAAACAGATAATGAAAGCTTTGAAGTTATTAACAGATAATTCAATAGTTCAATCTTACCTGGTTACCAGCTTCAAAGGAATTGTTTGGGGTAACAGATCTCCTCAAAATCACCTTCAAGTCTTTAGTAATACCATGCAAATCAGCCAGGACCAGAGGAGACATATTCTCTGGACTTCTCAGCACTTGTTTTGACTCGCT